TGAGCGGAGATTGCGAGCGGCTGATGGCAGCCTCGAATTCAGGGCTGGGCTGGGGCTTTGCGTGATAACTGCCCGCACCTTCAGGGGAAATCACCTTGCACAAAACGAGCTGCAGCCCTTCAGCTGCTCCTGCCGCGGCTGACATTTATGGCACACAATCCGGTTAGGGCTGCTTTATTTAATCCCTGGACTCTTTGGCAGCGTTGCATAAACGGCATTAGAGCCCTCCTCAGCTCTGCATCTCTTCCTTGCTGTCTTTGAATTTCTTAAAATCTTCAGTTTTGTCATTTCGTTAGCCACAAACATCATCCCTGCTATCACACAGACTTTGTTTTCCTCCACACAGATTCTTAAGCCATTTACATCCTCTTTAAATTAAATTTACTGACAAAGCTGCCCAGCAATCCTGAACCTCACTAGCAGGTGACAAGACAGACTCACTGGGCATTATAAAGAGGGATCTTGTTCAGCCAGTGACTGGTAACTCTTTGATTTCCAGCTTCTTGTTTCACTTACTACATCAGATTTATATTCTTGCTCTTGCAAGAGCATTGGGAAAGGAAGGAACTTCATTTTGCTCAGTAGCAAATAAAAAGCTGTAACTAACTCACACAATACAGCTCAGCACTTTAGATTTGTGAATTCACTGAGTTTTGTGGTCAAATTCCTGAATATTAGTTTCAGCAATGAAGAACTGTTTCTACATAAGGCATTTTGTTGTTGTTATCAAGTATAAATGAAACAAGAATGGCCACAAATGTGTGCAGGAAACGCTGCTGATTACAATATGTACTCCAAGACAATCACTTTGGCTGATCTTTATAAAAATTTCTGATGTGACATTACAATGACATTGGATAGGAGTAGTGCAAGTAAATTTTTCTACAGACTGCAGGATGTGAGAACTTGGGAAAATTGTTTCATTACCAAATCAGAGTTCTGTGTTTCTTTAAAATTTCCTCCAAATGACTTTGATGTAAGTACAATGCAGAGTTTTTATACCCTGGCTAACTCCAGACTTTTAAAAATGCCCTAATGTCTTTTACCTTTAACAGGGAAGAATTTTGGAGAAGACTGGGCTTTGCAGCCAACTCACTTTTGGCCGATACGTGCGACAGGGGTGGAAACTAGGGTTGGATCCAAAGCTCTTTATCCAGGATCTGCAGTTTAATGAAGTACCTGTGAGGGTTTATCAGCCTAAAGCTACCTCGGATGGGCCAAGGAGAGGCATCCTCTTCTTCCATGGAGGAGGCTGGGTGTTTGGAAACCTTGGTAAGAAACTTCCTGGAGGAACTGTGTGGTGTAGAAAGAATATTCTCATCTTTTTAGAAGGTTGAAATAAGATGTGGTTTCAGCGTGTGATTTGAGATGAAGTCTGAAGCCTGTTTGTAACAGACATTTCTTAGGCTGTCTCAAAGCTGACTAACAACAATATTTCTTTTGCAGATACCTATGAAAAGGTGTGTCGCTACCTCTCCAGGGAGAGTGACTCAGTAGTTGTGTCTGTGCAGTAAGTGAACACTACCCAGTTTTGTGTTTAGGAAATTATTGTTGCTGTGGGACCACAGCAGAGCTGTGCTGGTGTTGGAGATGTTCTTTTTTGGCACAGGAGTTTCTATGGGAGTCAGTCAAGTTCATAAAGGGAAAAATAGTGATAAAGAAGATTTCGCAGCCCTTAACTATTCATGCCCAGAGATACTCCAAAAAGATACAAATGGAAATATTTGGCACACTAAGTAAGTCTATAAAAGCCAATTAAAAACTTAGGTGAAAAAAAGTCTTCCTTGTGCTGAACATATGGTAATAAGATGCTCCAAGCAATTGGGAGCTATGGGAAAACAGAATAATCACACTAAAATCCTCCCATTTTACACACAGGAAGCAGAGGCACAAAATTATTAAATAATCTTGTCAGAGGTACAGAGGGAGTTTTCACCATCACTAAGAACTGTTCAATTCTTTGTTCAGATCATTAATCAGAGACAATCCTACTTTAGTGAGTTCTTGTGACTGAACTCACTATTTACAGTTTATCTGCAATCCCAAATGGAGGAGCAGCTGTTTGGAGGCACTGAAGATCCTAACTAGAGCCAAGCCACCCCAAAGTTATAGGGCTGAGGAACAGCATATGAGACCATTTCCTGGTTACTGCTACTGACATTTCCTCCTCCTTGTCTGTGTGTCCCAGGTACCGTTTGGCCCCTGAGCACAAATACCCCGCTGCCTACGAAGACTGTCTGAGCGCCAGCCAGCACTTCCTGCAGCACCTGCAGCACTACGGCGTGGATCCTGCCCGCGTCGCTGTCTGTGGGGACAGTGCTGGGGGCAACCTGGCAGCTGCTGTCAGCCAGACCCTGGCAGGCAGGTCAGACCTGCCCAGGCTCCGTGCTCAGATCCTCATCTACCCAGGCCTGCAGGCCCTGGACTTCAATTTACCGTCCTACCAACAGAACCGCGGAGTCCCTCTGCTCTTCCGGGAGCGAGCTGCTTTCTTTGCTTTGCTGTACCTCAATGGGGATGCACTGCACTTGAAAGAGGTCCTGGAGGGCTCTCATATTCCCCCGGACATGAGGCTGAAGTATCAAAAGTGGGTGAGTCCAGACAACATCCCTGAGGAATTTAAGGTCAGAGGCGTGAAGCCGCTTAGGCCCACTGATTTTATAGCTGAAGTTTATGAGACAGTGAAGGGAATCTGTGAACCCAACCTGTGCCCACTGCTGGCTGAAGACTCTGTCGTTCACCAGCTGCCAGAATCTTTCATCCTGACCTGCGAGTACGACGTGCTGAGGGACGATGGCTTGTTGTACAAGAAGAGGCTGGAGGACAATGGGGTTCGAGTGACCTGGTACCACCTTGAGGATGGATTCCATGGGATCATCAGCCTCTATGATTATTGTGGCTTCTCATTTCCATCTGGGAAAAGAGGATTGGACAGGGTTGTTAACTTCTTAAAAAGCTTATAGTAAACATCTTAGATTCCACGAGTCTGTTCATGCCTCAACCTAGGAAAATATCTTTTTAGGATATGAAATATCAGGTTATGGGTAGTGAATCAGGGGCAGCCATTAACAATGATAAACAAGGCTCATCAGAACCTCATTCCAGCTGTTAGTTGGAACATGGAATATGCAAACCTTACACAAGCTTGTACCATGCTGCAAGCCCTTATCTTTAGCTCTGCTATAAAGAACAGTTCTTTGAATGGGTATCCTGGTTTGTTCCAGTTATTAAAAAAAATATCTGTGTGAAGAGAAGCTGTGTGTTAGCAGGCGTGTGTGGTGTGAGAATAAAACCCAGCTGACATTAGTGGATTATGAGCCACGGACAATAAAATAATAAATATGATGACAATTAGGAAATAATGATGCTGTGTCAAGCGTGGTCTCTGTCACTGTGGCACAAAAAACCAAATGGTTCCATGGCCAACATCACCCTTGTTGTCAGCACACAGGCAGGGCTGGAGCCCCTTTCTGCCCCAGTTTTAGCACTGGATTACTTGGGTAATGTTTCACGCACATAACTTGAAGGACAGTTCCACCAACCAGAGACAGGAGCGCTGGTGGCGCAAACAAATATGATTGCATCACGAAAAGATGGGCAGGATAGGTGAGAAATTGGGCCTAAATACTCTACTATAGAGCTCTCATTGGAAACTGACCGGAGAAGAGGACAAAGGAAAGATCAGGAGAGAGAGAAGGGGAAGGTCAGGAAGGTGAGGGCAGGAACAGAGGAGGTTCCTGTGCTGTGGGGGTGGTACAGGGCTGTAGCTGTCGGCTGGACTCCAGCCTCAGCTCACAAGAGTAGTAAGAGGGAGAAGGACAAGCATCTTTCTTGGCCTTATTCATTCTGTATTATTAATTCATTCTGTTTATGACCTGCCTTTCCTCTCCTTAAGCCAGGGCAAAAGCAATGCCCAAACACAGAGTGCATTGAGGGCTTCACACTGGTTATAATATTGGCCAGTTACAAATGGCACTTAGGGCAGTCACTTGAGGCTGCTGTACCACTTAAACACAACTATACATCAATATAGACAATAATATTTACCAACATCATGCAAGAAAGACTTCACTAATCTTCCCAGAAATTAATACTTATTAATACTTGGAGGATCTTTAATAATCTGGATATTGGTCTCATTGCTTGTAGAAACATGAGCATCTTTTCTAGCAGAGCTGCTAGATAGATTTCATGCCTTGCTTAAGAGGCTCAGCAAAATTTTGTCATTAGACTTTTAACTTTGTCAAAACATGCCAGTTAGGTTCAATATTAGAGCTGTTCAAGCAGATCCTCCTGACTCTGCTGAAATTGCTTCCTTTAGATTTTTTTTCCTGGAACCAAATGCCAGACTGTGTTGCAGTATGCAGCACCAGAAATAGAACAAAGAGAGAGGGGTAAATGGTTCATTCATCCTTTTCAGATGTTAGTTCCCATGGTAGGTGAAGATATTTAACCAAATTAACCAAAGCACAGATAATTTTTCAAGTGCAATACACTATGGAACCAATCCAAACCAAAATTTTACAGTGGCTGATTTTACCAGTTGACTTTTACCAGCAAAGAACATAGACTTCTTTCCAAAAAAGCTCTTGTGTAGATGAAGAAAGGAGCACTGGGACAGAGCTGCTGTGATTACTGGGCTGCCTCAGCAGTTCTGAGTATCTCTCACATTTATAAACTCAGCAGCATCTCATACAGAACAGCCTCACCTGCTTGCCAGCTCACAGACCAAACACTAAGGACAACCATGATGGGGAATTTTAAGGTGAGGAACAGAAAACTCCAGTCTGGGGCTGTGGTGCCTGTATATTCCAGGCAGTGATGATCTGTCACTAATACTTAAATCCTATTTTATATATCCTTAAACAACTGTATGTGTAAAGGAAGGCACTGTAGCTCTGTGGCCATTCCAGGGCTGGATTCCAGTGGGAATCCTTCCCCAGGCAGGCACCCAGCACATGCTGCTCGTGGATGTTTCCCAGTCTGTGCCTTGGGGGTGACCAGGGCACATGAAGAAAATCAGTGTATTACTCCCACCTGGGACTGGGTATTGAGTCTTCAGGGCATTCCCTGGGTTCTAATAGCAGCTTGCTGGTAAAATAGGATTATTTTAATCAGCACACCTCCAATTCATATCAACAAGCTGAACTTAAATAAGGCCCTGATCTTTTACAATACTTTTCCCACAAGCATCATCTGCTAGAATGTCCCTTCCAACAAGCCTCTCCACCCCCAGGTATTGTTATCATTCTCTTCAGACAGGCAGCTGGAAGGTTGGATGTGCAATGCTGCTGCACAAAACCCTTAAGCAGCACAAAGCAATCAGCTTTTCATTTTCAGCCTTCTTAAATGTGTCTGCAAATCCATGATGCAAGTGTTGAAATCAGACTGATCAGATCTCATGACATACAGATGCAGTTGCTTAAGTTGAGTGGGAATCCACTTGAAATGCAAATGCCTTTATTTTCAGGGATTAAATGATAAGTAACACAAAGACTGACAAAGGTTTGTGGTATCAGTGGCAAAAATGCAGAGTGACTCAAACCACTCTGAGCCATCTGAATGCTGTGCACAGCAGCATCGTGTGCATCTCATTTTGGGGCCTGCCACTGCAGCACTTTTCCTCCATCACAAGGAAGCAAGAAGCCAAAATTTAGTGTCAGAGAGTGCTGAGAACTGCAATGGGCACAGCTACAACTGTGCTGCCTCCCCTCTGCAGCTGGAGTGCAAACTGGCCTGGATTCCTCAGAAATCAGATTTCCCCATTCTTGGCATTTTTAATTCAATGTAATGGAACATGGTGCGCTGGTCAATATATAGATTTAGAGATAGGAACCTCCTTCTGTTTAAATTCTGGAAATGGATCTTGTGGTGACTTTTGGCTACTTTCTTACCCAGTCAATACCTTATTTTTTGGATTAATAAAGTGCAAATGTTATTCATACAGCAATCCTTATTCACCACAGGAAGCACTGAAGGAGAGTGTCAATGAACAGATTTCTCTCCCCTATCCAATATCAGTTGAAAACAAGGAGAACTGTGGGATACAACTAGCAGGAGAATTAATGAAGTATTATTACCTTTCTGAATTTATAAGTAAAAGGTTACCTGTGCTAACTTTTCAAATATCAGCTAGAGAGGCTCTGAAGAATCAGGACTCCTGATTGATAACATGACTCATCTGTCAGTGTCTAACAGTGATTTCCTCTTCCAGCCAGAGGGTGGACACATATGTCCTGAGAACAAAAAGATCCATTTTGTCCTTAATCTGCTGTCAAAACAGTACAAACATTCCCTATTTCAACTGTAGAGTAAAAACACCCAGACGAAAAATTTAATGAAATAATTTCTAACATCTAATCTTGTCCCAGATGAACCCACTCTCTATGGACTTCTTGAAGACCTGATGAAAAACAGCACTAGAAAGAAGTTGAGTGATGTCCAATGTCTGCCCCATTTCCTGTGAAATCCCAACAATTTCTGCTTTTGCCACTTTTCAGCTGACACAACCAACCAAAACTCATGACCTCCCAACCAGGGATTCCTTCCCCAAAATGTTGTAGAATCCTGGACTTTGAAGAGGGGCAGAATATCTGCAAATTGTTGGGCAACTGGTGAGAGGCAGAGAAGCTGGGGATGCCCCTGTGTAAACTGCTTAGGGTGATCTTAAGCCCTGCTTAATATAGCTTGTTGCTTGTGGGAGCTGCTCCATGCAGGAGGGAGAATTAGGTTAGACAGGCACACGGCTTCAGACCAGTTAGAACAAGCTGCTGGCTTCCATCCTGACCTGCAGGTGGCTATTTCAGAAGATATTAAATCACTGAAAACAAATTTTTCATCTCTCGCGTTTTAGTCAATGAATGGTTGCAGCATAAAAAACAATCAAGCCAAAACACAAAACAAGTGGGATGGAACTTGAAAGGACATAAAACTCTTAATTGCTTTGCACTCTGTTGTTTTTTTTTTTTTTTAATTATTATTTTTGCACAGCTTGCTATGTGTTTCTTTGAAGCAAGAGGAGAAAAGAGCCTTGTGTTATTCCATATATATCTGAAGCATGTAAGAATAAAGCAAATGTGGAAACAGCTGCACATCCAAGGACAAGGTGAAGCAAGGTTCCTCCCCATGCAGGAGGCAGCCAGACCTTGATTACCCTTGGCTTTACAGAGGGAAGGCACTTAATGGCAGATAAGCTGCAAAGCAAACTGCATTAGCTGACCTTGCATTACCAGATTGCAAAGGAAATAGCTCTGGGAGCCCTTTCCACTGCTGGATAGGCCGCCCTGAGACTTTGCTCCCATGTAGGAAGTGCTGCTAACAAATCCAAATTCTTATTGGTCCAAGATGCAACTTCTGCATTTAAATCCCCTTTGGCCCAGAGCAGAGATCTGCAAAGCTCAGCTGCTCGTGGTCTGAGGCTCAGCAAGAAACCTGCAGCAAGTTTCAGGCTTACATTCAATAAATCTGGAATTAATTCAGTGCAATTCATTTTTGCTCAAGATTAGCAATATTATAATTATTTTTAGGAATAGATGAAGTCTTGGCGTGGGCAAAGCCCTGGCCATGGGTCTGGATGGAGTTTTACCTCTGCAATATTTTAGTCGCTGTGATTTAGGTTTGTGCTTTCAAGGTTGAGTTTATAAGGGAAGGACACTGACGACTCAGACGAGCAGAGCAACAGTGGCACCTATTGGCAAAGGGGCTGTGGCTCTGTGAGACACCCAAAATCAGCTGGGGACAGCCCCTCAGCTGAATGCTGAACCAGAAGGCAGCGTCCTTGATGAAATCATTCAGAGATGCAAGAACCCTGCTAAATGGATAAGCATTGTATGGGTTTTTTTAGGCTTCAAAGCCCCAGGGACATCAAAGGCAATTAGAAAAAAATTGAAAGCAAAATAGGTGAAAGTCACTGAATCACAGTTAGCTATTAGTGCTGTGCTATTAAACACATTCTCTTGAAAAAACATCTCTGAGATAATCCATAAAGAGTGAATTACAATGGAATGAAAATTGGAGGATACAGAAATTCTTCTATCCACAAGGACGTCTTCCATATTTATTTTATTGCTAATATAGCTATTAAAAGTGTATTTTTCTGTTTGTTCCCATGTGCTGATAGTTTTTGTGACAGTACCAACCAGGCCTGCATCTCTATAGCACAACAGAACTCAGATAATATTTAGAATACAGCTTAGAAAATTATACAAAGGTAGCCTTAATTCCACACAACTCTAATCAGTTTGCTTTAAAATCTGCTCATCAATTATTCATAAATATTAAATATTTATAACAAATGAAACATTTATGTTTATCATCTACCGTGCTTTTAAAAGCAAAGCTCATATATGGAAAAAATTACTGG